AACCCAGGAGAGAAGAGGCTGATGTGGTCCGTGGCAAGCCTTGAGCCAATCCTCAGACCCAGCTTGAGTTCACCCTCGGTCTACCGCCTCCCCCAGATCCCTCCTGCAGCTCCAGCCCCACCTCTGCCCAGCAGGCTCCTCCCCACCCAGCTGGAGTCTGAAATCCCCTGTCAGCACATGCCAGGCACATTCCTGGGTGCCTCCCCAGTCCCCAGGACCTCAAGGGCCCCCAGGGTGGAGGTGGGGAGCCCAGTCTCCCCCCCCCCAGGCCTATCTCCAAGCTCAGCTTGCGGACCAGCAACCTGGGCCTCTGCGGGCAAGAAGGGCCTCCCCTGGTCCTCTCAACCCAAATGTAAGACATTTGGCAAGTCCCTCCCTTCCCTCAGTGATGGAGGACAGCGCTTCAGGAGAGTGTGCAAGGCTGGGTGTGAAACTGGAAGGGTACAGGCAGCTATCAGTGTGTGTGAGAGCAGGTGTAAGCTGTAAACGCTCACATCTGTTATCCTTAGCTACTCAGGAGGCTGAGATCTGAGGATCAGGGTTCAAAGCCAGCCTGGCCAGGAAGGTCTGTGAGACCCACATCTCCAATGAAGCACAGTCAATCAATCAATCAATCAAGTTGTGGCTCAACAGGTAGAGCACCAGCTTTGAGCAAATAAGCTAAGGGACAATGCCAATGCCTGAGCCCTGAGTTCAAATCCCAGCACCAACACAAAAACAACACAATTTCTACAAAGAGGCTTGGCATGAGTGTCCATACGAGGCAGGCACTGGGAGGATCAAAGTTTTTGAGGGAAAAAGTTGATGAGATCCCATCTCAATACAGTCAGCAGGGTGGCACCCACCTATAATCCAAGCTACTTGAGTAGTATAGGTAGGAGGCTCTACTATCCAGTCTGGCCCTGCCCAACAAAGAGCTAAAGTAATCAGGGCTGGAGGCATGGCTTAGGTGATTCAATACTTGCCTTGCAAGCCTGTGGCCCTGAGTCCAAATGCCAGAACTGCAAAGCCAAGGGAAGGAGGGAAGGAAGGGAGGGAGGGATGGAGGGAGGGAGGAGGAAGGAAAAGCGGAATAGTTGGAGTGTGTACGAGAGTCTTCAGTGAGAGGGTGCAGGTTATGAGACAGGCACGGGTAGGAGTGAAAAACAGGGCCCAAGCTCTCCAGCCCTCATGTGTATATAATGGTGAGTCCAGCATGGAGGTCCATTAGTAAAAGCCTCTCTCATTGTTTCTACCATCTTCCATTCTTATATGTCTGTCCCCTTTCCATCTACCCAGCATCAACCAACCTGACTTATCTTTCTATACTTCTCCATCTCTTTTTGGCCTCTCTCATCTCTGTGCATTACATGTTTGAACCTCAGCCAGCCTTTCGCTAGTTCTCTCTCTCTCTCTCCCTCTCTCTCTCTCTCTGTCAATCATGGGCTTGAGGTCTGGGCCTGGGCACTGTCCCTGAGCTCTTCATCTCAAGGCTAGTGCTCTACCACTTGAGCCACAGCACCACTGCTAGTTTTCTGGTGGTTCATTGGAGATAAGAGTCTCACAGACTTTTCTGCCCAGGCTGGCTTTGAACCACAATCCTCAGATTTCAGTCTCCTGAGTAGCTAGGATTACAGGCATGAGCCACCTCTCCCTCTTTGTACACATAGCTCTGCTCTTTCTTAAAAGTTTTTATTTATTTATTTATTGGCCAGTCCTGAGGCTTGAACTCTGTCCCCGAGCTTCTTTTGCTCAAGGCTACCATTTGAACCACAACACCACTTCTGGTTTTGTTTTGTTTTTATTTTATTATTTTAATTTATTAGAGATAAGAGTCTTACCAACTTTCCTGCCTGGGCTGGCTTCAAAACGTGAGTAGCTAGGATTACAGGTGTGAGCCATCAGCATCCAGCTGCTTTTCAAATTTTGGGGGTCTCTTTTCATTTCTCTCACTCCTGCTACCTCACCTTCTGTCTCTCATATACCCGGAGATCAATAAATATTCATTTCTCAGTCATCCTCTGCCTGTGTCTTTTTCTCATTAGTTTCTCTAGCTCTGAATCCTGACTCTGATCCCTGAATTTTAGAACCATATGCTGGCTGGCCTCCTCATCCCAGTGTGTGTACATGCACACACACACACACACACACACATTCACATGGGATAAGCTCTTTGGGCCTGCTTATCTCCTGTGGGACTTGCACCTGTTCATTTGCTCCCCCTTTCCTGCTGTCCCCCCACCTGGTCTTTCTCCCTCAACGTCCATTATTAACTTCTTAGGGCCCCCCCCCATATTTCCTTTCCCAAATGTTCTGCCCAACTCTTGGGAAATGGGCGGATACAGACCTGGGGAAAGAGAGTGTTTGTCATGGGGCCTGAACCAGATGGTGTCTCTGGGGAGCAGGGTGTAAAGCTGCGGTTGCTGAGACCTTTAATTAGCACAAACCTATTCTCTACCTTGGCTGTTTTCCTGCTCAGCATGCTCCTGGGACCACAGGCTCTCTCTTTCTCTCTCTCTTTTTCCATACCCCTGGCCCCAGAGAGCAGGAAGGGGAAGTCTGTCAGGTATCTGGAAAAACAACTCCATCACCTGACTTCCTCCCCCAAACCCAGGAGTCTTAAACCCATGGCCATCTTATTTATTTATTTATTTTCAGTCATGGGGCTTGAACTCAGGGCCTGGGCGCTGTCCCTGAACTTTTTCACTCAAGGCTAGTACTCTACTACTCTGAGTCACAGACCACTTCTGATTTTCTGGGGAGTAATTAGAGATAAAGAGTCTTGTGTCCTTTCTTTTTTTTTTTTTTTTCTGCCGTTCCTGGGGTGTGAACTCAGGGCCTGGGCATGGTCCTTAAGCTTCTGTTGCTCAAAGACAGCACTCTGCCACTTGAACCACAGCTCCCTTTCTGGCTTTTTCTGTGTGTGTGGTACTGAGGAATCAAACACAGGGCTTCATGCATGTGAGGCAAGCACTCTACCACTAAAAGATATTCCCAGCCCCTAGCCCTTCTCTTTAGAGACCCAGATCTTGAGCTGGGCACCAGTGGCTCACACCTCACACCTGTCATCCTAGATACTCAGGAGACTGAGATCTGAGGATTGCAGTTCAAAGCCAACCCCAGTCAGGAAAGTCCATGAGACTCTTATGTCCAATTAACCACACAATACACACACACATACACACACACACACACACACACACACACACACACACACACACACACACAGCCAGAAGTAGAGGTATGACTCAGGTGGTAGAAGGTCAGTTTTGATGGAAAGGCCCAAGGGAGAGTAACCAGGCCCTGAATTCAAGCCCCTGAATAGCAGCACACACAAAAGAAGAAGAAGAAGAAGAAGAAGAGAGAGAGAGAGAGACCCAGATCTCCAATCCTCTCCCTTCCTCCCACTGGATTTAGGGCAGATGTTCACTGTTTGTTGATTTTTCAAATCCTCCTGGGTCTGTGTGGGGGTGGGAGGGAGATTGGTGATTAAATCCACTAATACTTAAGACTAGATTTTCTAACCCTTTTCCAACTGGACTAGAGGCAGCCCTTCCAGGCACCCAGACTTGAGGTGATCACAGCCAGCAGAGATCTCTCTGAACCTCCAGTATTTCACAATCCTGGAAAGCCAATCCTCTGAGAATTAGGGATGCACAAGTCTGAACCCAAGAACTACTGAAAGTCTTGAGTGTGGACCCACAATCCTTACAGGTCCAGGAATGCCAGACCGAGGGTGCCAACTCCCTATCCCCACCGCCCCTTTTCAAGAAACTCAGCATCCCTCCCACCTGCTTGGCCAGCTGCTGTTGCTGCTGCTGCGTGGGAACCGCCCCGGCTGGAGCCGTCAGAACAAGCTGCCAGGTTCCCAGCCTCCCGGCCTGAGCCCTGAACTCCAACGCTGCCGCCTCCCAGCCGTCGCTGGGCAACCATGGGATGGGACGAGGGGCCCCAGCCGGCAGAATGGGGAGAGGGGCTGAGGGGGTCCTGGGAAAGGGAAAGGCTGGGGGTGGGGGCTGGGAAGGGGCCTGGATTCGTAGATCTTAGGACGTGATCGAGCAAAAAACAGAAAGAAGGAAGGAAGGAAGGAAAGAAAGAAAAAGAGAGAAAGAAAGAAAGAAAAAGAGAAAGAATGAAAGAAAGAAAAAGAGGAAGAAAGAAAGAAAGGAAGGAAGGAAGGAGCTGTAGGGAGCTGAGTCCCTTTTTTTCTTTTTAGGACTCTTAGCTGATGGCTGGGGTTACTCAGATGCCCTCTCCCCGACCCTGCCAGACCCGGGGGAGTGCTGGGCCCCGCCTCCCCAGGGCAAGGAAGCTGGTGAGGCCCCAAGGACTCCCATTTATAGCTTGGTTTCCACTCAGTGCCAATCCCTCCAGGACCTGAGCTGAGCAAGTTTCTTCCACTCTCTTTCCTCCTCCTCTGCCTCCTCCTCCATCTCCTCCTTTTCTTCTTCTTCTTCCTCCTCCTCCTCCTCCTTCTTCTCCTCCCTTATCTCTTCTTCCTCCTTCATCTATTTTCTTCTCCTTCTCCCCCCCCTCGCCCCAGCAGGGTGCAGGTGTCCAACCCAGACGAGACCCGCCCCACACCCCCTCTCTAGACCCAGGTGTTGCAACTCCCACACCCCCAATTGGGCTGAGGGGGCGCGCCCGCTGCGAAGACCCAGGGCCTTTGTGGCCCTCATTCATTCGGGCCGTGGGAGTTTCTCAATGGGAAAGGGGCGTGTCTTGAGGGAAGTGGGGCGTGTCCCGAGCTGTTGGTGGGCGTGGCTATTATAATCAGACCACGCCCGGCGCCCCTAGCCAACCTGCTGGAGTTTCAAAGCATCACCGGAGCTGCAGAGAAGCAGACTCGGAGGACTTCAAGCCACAGACAAGGGGTGCTTCCAGGACTGAAGAGTGGGTGGGGGGCGTAATGAAAGGGGGTTCTGCTCTCACGTGGTGAGCAGTGTGCTGCCAAGAGCAGTTGGAGCGAAGCCAGAACCACCGCAGAGTTTGGGAACCTTGGGGGTTCCCACACATTCAGCATGCTGGTCCCTGTCTTCCTTGTCCTTCTCTTCTGCTTCCAGGGGCACACAGGTACCTGAGGGGGATGTGTGTGTGTGTGGGGGGGGGGGGGGTTGATGGCTAGTTACCGCTTTACTGGGGAAAAGGAGATTGAAAGGGCTTGGATGGGAACTCCAGAAGCCTTGAGTTTCTGGGGTCCTGAATAAAGGATTTCTCAGCTCTGCTCTTCTCTCCCCGACTCCTTATTCTCCTAGGCCCTGCTCCCCATTTCGTGCAACAGCCGGAGGACCTGGTGGTGGTGCTGGGAGAGGAAGCCCGGCTGCCCTGTGCGCTGGGCGCATACAGGGGGCTTGTTCAGTGGACTAAGGATGGGCTGGCTCTTGGGGGTGAAAGGGATCTTCCAGGTGAGGTTACCTACCCGGCCCCCCCACCACCCCCGCGGCTCCCCAGCGGAGGGGCTGGGCACTGGAATGGGGCTGCTAACTGTCTTGTCTCCGAAGTTTCTCTGGGCGACATTTTCAACTTCTGAGAATTGGTGGATGCAGAAACTTTGAAAGTGACTCCATTTGAGGATTATTACTTTTATTGTAAAATAGTCTCTGCCTAAAGCATAGTAAACATACAAGTGGACAAGTAATTATAAAGTAGAGCGCTAGGTGGTTGGTGGGGCTCGCTCCTATAATCCTAGCTACTCAGGAGACTGAGATCTGAGGGTGCAGATGGGAGCTACTCAGGAGACTGAGATCTGAGGGTGCAGATGGGAAGTCAGCGAGAGCAGAAAAATCCATTAGACACTTCTCTCTAATTAACCAGCAAATTGCCAGAAGTGGAAGTGTGGCTCAAGTGGTAGAGCCATGAGAAAATGAGGCCCCAAGTTCAAGCTTCAGTACTTGGCACAAAAATAACAAAGTAACCAATACTCAGGTCATTGTTAACTTTCCAGAATCCTCAGTTGCCTCCATTCCACCCCTAACCTCATAACCAGGAGGTTAGTATCTAACCTATGTTATGACAGTCATTTTTTTATTATCCTTTCTGACTTTATCAACCCAAGTTTGTAGTGACTCTATATTGGACCTGGCATATGTTTCATAATGATGTCTTATTATAGAATGAATGAATGGACCCGTTTTCTAGTTCTGGATGTCAGGAATGAAGACTCGAAGCCAGGAACTCACAGCTATGTTGTGACTTCTTTTCCTTGGCTCTAGGGTGGTCTCGATACTGGATTTCAGGGAAAACCACCATGGGTCAGCATGACCTCCACATCAGGCCAGTGGAGCTAGAGGATGAAGCATCATATGAATGTCAGGCTACACAAGCCGGCCTCCGATCACGGCCAGCCCGACTGCACATATTGGGTGAGGACTTAATCTACTTGTCTCTTGTTAGCCCAAGGTAGGGGATTGTGGGGGGGGGGGGACAGTTTACAGCCAGCATGAGCTTGGAATATCAGAGACCACAGAGCCCAAGGGAGTGGTTGGTTGGTTCTGAAATCAGGGTCTCGGCACTCAGAATTTACTTCTGATCCAAGATCTACCTTGCAGTACCCCCAGAAGCTCCCCAGGTACTGGGAGGCCCCTCAGTGTCTCTGGTGGCTGGAGTTCCTGCAAATCTGACCTGTCGGAGCCGTGGGAATGCCCGTCCCACCCCTGAGCTGCTGTGGTTTCGAGATGGGATCCGGCTGGATGGGACCCCCTTACACCAGGTCAGGATAGTATACCTTTGTCAGTCCTTAACCATTCAGTGGGGTCCAGTCTAATCACAGGCTCAGCTAGAGAAGAGACAAGGAGGTGGGAGGGGAGGTTGAGCATTGGGACCCTTAGAATGGGATCCAGGATAAAGACTCCAGGGCCAGACCACCTGGGTTCCCATCTTGGCTCAATCTATTTGTGAATTGATCTTAAGGATTCTATTTCACTTCTGTCCCTCGGGGAACACGTATTCCCCCATTCACTCAGGATGTAAACCTCCTGAGTGCTTCTCCTTAGTTGTCCCCATTTCCCCATCCAGGCCCTTTTCATCCATTAGATCTCTCACTGGCCATATCACCCCCTGTCTGTCACAGGTTAAGAAGTCAATGGGGGTAATGGTGGACTGAACAATACATATAATGTTTAGGAGAGTGTCTAACTACTGGATCTATGGAGCTGATGGAGTCATTAGTGTGCTATGTCCCTCAGACGTTGTTGAAGGAAGAGACCACTGGGTTTGTGGAGAGCACCCTATTCCTGACCCCTTCTAGCCATGATGATGGAGCCACTTTGATCTGCAGAGCCCGGAGCCAGGCTCTGCCTACAGGGAGGGACACGGCTGTCACACTGAATCTGCAGTGTGAGTACAGTTGGTCCTGGGGTGGGGTGGGGAGGAAAATGGGGCAGCAGGGGTAGGGGGGGAGGGAGCCCAGATTCTTAGGTCTAAGAAAGGAGGGATGCTCCTAAGTAGTGCAGAAGCTGGAGCTGGGACTCCTGGATTTGAAAAATGGGTTACTTGCCAGGCACTAGTGGCTCACGCCTGTAATCCTAGCTACTCAGGAGGCTGAGATCTGAGGATTGAGGTTCAAAGCCAGCTCAGGCAGGAAAGTCCGTGAAACTCTTATCTCTAATAAACCACCCGAAAACCAGAAGTGGCACTGTAGCTCAAGTGGTAGAGCGCTCGCCTTGAGCTGAAAAGCTGAGGGACAGTGTTCAGGCCCAGAGTTCAAGGCCCAAGACTGACCAAAAAAAAGAAAAATGGGTTACTTGAGGAATTAGGAAGATAGGAATAGTAAACCCAGACTCCCTGGCTCAAAGAGAGGAGGGAGTTGGGCACAAGTGGCTCATGCCTATAATTCTATCTACTCAAAAGGCTGAGATCTGAAGATCATGGTTTAAAGCCAGTCCTGGCAAGAAAGTGTGTGAGACTTTCAATTAAACCAACCAAAAAGCCCAAAGTGGAGGTGTGGCTCAAGTTGATAGAGCACTAGCTTTGAGCAAAAATGCCCAACGGCAGTGCCCAGGCCCTGAGTTCAAGCCCTTGGAGGAGAACTGGAGATCAGGTTCCTAGAGACTCTGAATGAAGGTGTTCAGATCTTGCCCATGCTAACAATTACCTCACCCCTACAGACCCCCCAGTGGTGACTCTCTCTGTTGAGCCCCAGACCGTGCAGGAGGGAGAGAAAGTAGCGTTCCTGTGTCAGGCCACGGCCCAGCCTCCTGTCACTGGCTACAGGTGAGAAGGAAAGTCACCTTTCTCCAGCCAAGAAAGGAGCAGCCATGACCTTGGTTAGGGAGGATTGGGATCACATTAACAACACCACCTATACTTTTGCAGGTGGGCAAAGGGGGGCTCCCCGGTGCTCGGGGCTCGTGGGCCGAGATTAGAAGTCGTGGCAGATGCCTCGTTCCTGACTGAGCCTGTGTCCTGCGAAGTTAGCAACGACGTGGGCAATGCCAACCGCAGCACCGTGCTGGAAGTGCTGTGTGAGCAGGGGTGGGGCGGTGGGCGGGGCTGGCGTGGGCGTGACCGGCGTGGGCGTGGCTTTTGTGGGCTTGGCTTCTTGCCCAGGGGAAGGAGGTGGGGCCCCAATAGAATGTACAGGCAAAGTTTGGCGGTGCCAAAATGGGTCTAAGGTGTAGTGGACCCAGTGTTGTGGACTGGGATCCTGTACCTACCCCCCACACACTTGGAAAATGTTTCTGAGAGGCTGATGGCGGGGTGGTGGAGGGGAAGGGGTGATTCATGTGAGCCCTTCTCTCCATCCTCCAGTTGGACCCATTCTCCAGGCAAAGCCAGAGTCCATGTCGGTGGATGTAGGGGAAGATGCCTTCTTCAGCTGTGCCTGGCGTGGGAATCCATCCCCACGGATAACTTGGATCCATCGGGGTGGGACACAGGTGAAGCTTACTCTGGGGCCTGTAGCCATCGCTGGTATAGCTTCCAGAATCCCACTGCTGATGTCCTTTCTCTGTCCTAGGTGCTGAGCTCAGGACCCACACTGCGTCTTCGGTCGGTGGGACCCGAGGATGCAGGCGACTATGTGTGCAGGGCTGAGCCTGGGCGCTCAGGTCTGGGAGGTGGCATGGCAGAAGCTAGGCTGACAGTGAATGGTGAGAAAATGGGGTTTTGCAGAGTAGGTAGAGGGCAGAAGATGGGAGTGGCAAGGGTTGAAAAGAACCCCTGTGTGTGTGTGTGTGTGTGTGTGTGTGTGTGTGTGTGTGTGTACATGTGTCAGTTCTGGGGCTTGAACTCAAGGCCTGGGCACTGTCTCTAAGCTTCTTCACTCAAGGCTGGTGCTCTACCATTTGAGCCATGCTTGACTTTTGGCATTTTAGTGGTTCATTGGAGATAAGAGGCTCATGGACTTTCCTGCCTGGGTTAGCTTTGAACCTTGATCCTCAGATCCCAGCTTCTTGAGTAGGTAGGATTACAAGCATGAGCCACCTGCGCCAGGCTTCAAAAGGAACTTTATAGAGAGTGGGTTTGGTGATTGGAGCAAAACTTGTTAAAACAAGGGTGTGGCCTGGTTGATTGGAGTCCACAGAGTGTTGCCAGGTTTGGCCTGTCTTTATCCAAACCGCCTTTGTAGAGGTCAAGACCTCCCCTGAGTGGCCACAATCTCCATCCAGCTCCCCCAATAGTGACTGCCCTGCACTCCGCGCCTGCCTTGCTGAGGGGACCCGCCAGTCTTCAGTGTCTAGTGTTGGCCTCACCTCCTCCAGAAGCAGTGGTAAGTAAAAGTCCCCTCTACCATGACCCCCCTAATGGAGATCTCTGACCTCTAACCTGGACCCCTGAAATCGTAACTTCTTGCCTCTTCCACTCTCCACATTGATATCCCACCTTCTTTCTTCTTGCTCTCAGGTCTGGTCTTGGGATGAAGGCTTCCTGGAAACAGGGTCCCAAGGCAGGTTCCTGGTGGAGACTTTCCCAGCTCCTGAGGTCCATGGGGGACAGAGTCCAGGCCTGATCTCTGTGCTACACATTTCGGGGACCCAGGAGTCTGACTTCAACAGAGGCTTCAACTGCAGTGCCCGGAACCGATTGGGTGAAGGAGGCACCCGGATCCTTCTGGGCCGTAGAGGTGAGATACTGGACCAAACACCCCAAATCTGAAGATTTTCAAACCCCACAAACCCAGGAATTCCTAGATTGAAATTGATTAACTTTAAGGCTCTCAAATGCAAGACACCCCCACCCCCAAGCAAACCCTTGGCTCCTTAAATCGTAAACTATGGGCTCCTTAAATCGCAACACATACCCCCAAACAATAAATTCCCTCAGATAAAAAAAACTAAACTGCTCACACATCAGAAAGAAACACAAATATGGAAAATTGTAGAGCAAAAGACCTTCAAAAACTTATTCTCAAAACTAAACTTCAGCCGGGTGCCAGTGGCTCCTAGCTACTCAGGAGGCTGAGATCTGAGGATCACAGTTCAAAGCTAGCCCGGGCAGGAAAGTCCATGAGACTCTTATCTCCAGTAAACCACCAGAAAACCGGAAGTGAGCTGTGGCTCACCTTGAGCTGAAGAACTGAGGGGCAGTGCGCAGGCCCAGAGTTCAAGCCCCACGACCAACAAAAAACAAAAACAAAAACATAAAAACAACTAAACTCCATGGGCTGGGGAAGTGGCCTAGTGGTACAGTGTTTGCCTAGCATGCACAAAGCCCTGGGTTCGATTCCTCAGTACCATAAACACAGAAAAATACGGAAGTGGCTCTGTGGCCCAAGTGGTAGAGTGCTAGCTAGAGTGCTAGAAGCTCAGGGACAGTGCACAGGCTCTGAGTTCAAGACCTAGGACTGGCAAAAACCAAAACAAAACAAAAAAACCTAAACTAGAAGACTACAAATCTTTGGAATTCCCCCAACTTGGTGATCTTTGAACCCAGGAATCCCAAACCCTAATCCCCTAGTTCCACAGTTGGTCCTCCTCTCTACTCCCTGCAGACTTGCTGCCCACTCTGCGGATTGTGGCTGGAATAGTGGCCTCTGTCACGACTGTCCTTATGGTCATCATTGGTGTGGCCCTTTGCTGCTGGCGTCACAGCAAGGGTCAGTGCTTTGAGCCCCACCTCAGCCTCTGAACTCCTATCCTCCTTCCTCCGCCCCACCTCCACCCCCATGCCCAGTTCATATCTATGGCCTCGGACCGGACTCGGTCCCCAGTCTGGTCTCCAATCCTGAGCAGAAACCACGCCCTTCCTATGCGAAGATTCTCATTGGTTCTTAGCCTCCCCATCTTCCCTCTTTCCAATTGGTCTCCACAAACGGAGGCCCCGCCCACCACTTAATCCCACCTCCCACTGACCCCCGCCCCACTGACCCCGCCCCTTAGCCTCTTTCTCCAAGCAAAAGAACCTGGTGCGGATCCCTGGAAGCAGCGATGGCTCCAGTTCTCGAGGCCCTGAGGAGGAGACGGGCAGTAGCGAGGATCGGGTAAGATGCCAGGGTCCCTAGATGCAACTGTGCCTCAAGATTCAAGTAACCTAGTCACACTTTAATATTGCCCCATCCTAACAGTGACACCAGATTCAAATGTCTCCCCTACCCGCATACATATCCCTTACCCAATCATGTTCCCACCCCTCTTTCATTGTACTCAGTACAAGGACCTCACTTCTAGGTGCTCCCAGGCCATCCCTCCTGCCTGAAAGTCAGGGTGCAGGGGGTGGGGGGCGATTATTCCCTGGCCACCCCCTCTCACTTTACTTCCTGCCCTAGGGTCCCATGATACACACCAACTGCAGTGATCTAATTCTGGATAAGAAAGGGGCTTTGGACACTAAAGTAAGTGTTGAGTCTCCAACTCCTGGCTGTCTCCTCCGTTTTCATCCTGTCCTTCCTCCCTAGACCTGAGACCTACCCCAGCCTCCTGGGCCATCTGACCCAGCACTACAGCCTTTTTTCATCTCCAGTTGTGTCCATAAATGGGTCTCGGCCTTGGGTTCCAGCTGGAGTCCTTGGCCCAGCATTCTTCCTCCATCCATGTATGTCCTAGGCCTCCTGGTGCTTCTTCTTGGTTGTCCCCTGCACCCCAGCCATGAGCCCTCCCCTTTCTGTCCTCTTGTTTTGTGGCTGTCCTGGGGCTTGAACTCAGGGACTCAGCACTATCCCTGAGCTTCTTTTTGCTCAAGGCTAGCACTCGACCAAGTACTTGAGCCCCAGCTCCACTTCAGGCCTTTTTTTTTTTGGGGGGGGGGGTTAATTGGAGATGAAATTCTCACAAACTTTCTTGCCCAGGCTGTTTTGGAACCACAGTCTTCAGATCTCAGCCTCCTGAGTAATTAGGATTATTGGTGTGAGTCACCTGGCTCTGTCTTGTCTTTTTTTGTGTGTATTTTGGTCCGTTGTGGGGCTTGAAATCAGAGCCTGGTTGCTGTGCCTGAGCTTTTTTTCACTCAAGGTTAGCCGTCTACGACTTTGAGCCACAACTCCACTTCTGGTTTTCTGGTGGTTCATTGGAGATGAGTTTCACAGTTTTTTCTGCCCAGCCTGGCTACAGACTTCAGTCCTCAGATCTCAGCCTCCTGAGTAGCTAGGATTACAGGCAAGAGCCACCAGCACCCAGCTTATTTTGCCTTTAAATGTTGTTGTCATTTTCTAGGTCTATCATAATGCATCTCTCCACCCATGATCCTCACCTTTGCCCATTCACATACCTTACCAAGTTCCATTTGTCCCCTCAGGACCCAACCAATGGTTACTACAAGGTGCGAGGGGTCAGTGTGAGCCTGAGCCTCGGTGAAGCCCCTGGAGGAGGCCTTTTCCTACCACCCTCCTCCCCACTTGGACTTCCAGGGACCCCAACCTACTACGACTTCAACCCCCAGCTGGACATGATCCCCCCATGCAGACTGTACAGAGCCCGGGCAGGTTATCTCACCACCCCTCATCCTCGAGCCTTTACCAGCTACATCAAACCGACATCCTTCGGACACCCAGACTTGGGTCCTGGGACGCCTCCTTTCTCCTATGCTGCCTTCTCTGCACCTAGTCACCAACGGCTCCAGACTCATGTGTGACATCTCTCTGGCTGAAGAGTCCTGGGGTCTTCATAAAAGGTTGTCCAGGTTTCTGAGGAATCAGAACAAGATAACAACCTTGCTTCTCCCAGACTGGACACCGAAGGAGAGAACAAGAATTAACAATTGTCAGGATTGTTTACATATATACATATACATATATATACACATCTATACACACACGTATAGATGTGTATATATATAGTCAATTTAGCCAAGTGGGAGCAATATGGTCTCTATGCCCACCTATTCTCCTGTATAAAAGGTATTCAAGATGGCAGATAGGCCCCATTGCGAGGGATGAAGACAAGAGGTGATGGGGGTAAGAGGTGGAAGTAATTACTAGCCAACTGAGTAAAGGTATTTCAAGATGAACCACCATCATCTTGACAAAGGGAATATAGAGAAAAATCAAGATGAAAGACCTGTCAGGCACAGGTGGCTCACACCTGTAACCCTAGCTACTCAGAAGGCTGAGATCTGAGGATGGAGGTTCAAGGCCAGCTCAGGCACTAAAGTCCATGAACTCTTATGTCCAAAGTGGAGCTGTGGCTCAAGTGGTAGAGTACTAGCCTTGAGAAAAAAAAAACTCAGGGGCAGCACCCAGGCCCTGAGTTCAAGCCCCAGGACGAACACACACACACACACACACACACACACACACACACACACACACACACACAAGATGAAAGGAAGAACAGGCCCCACCCTGTTTTGTCTTTGAGATGCTCCATGGCTAATGGAAGTGCAGCCAAGATGCCTGTTCACTCCCTGGGAACAGAGATGGCCACCATCTTGATTCCTTCAACCTTCTTAAGATACTCAAAAGAATTGGACCCATGGAGTGTGGATGGGATTGGAACTATCACTGTGGAGGTAAAAGGGAGTATGTTGATAAGAATATTTATGTTTAATAATAATAATAAAAGCCAAAGAGGCAAATATACCTTGGGGATTCATCTGGCATTATTTGGGAGCAGTGTGGTTTTGAACACAGGGCTTCAGACTTGGCTTCCCACTTGAGCCACATCTCCAGCCCTTTTTGCTTTAGTTTAGTTTTCACATAGGGTTTCTTGCCTTTTTTTTTTTTTTTCCCTCAGGTCCTGGGGCTTTCACTCAGGGCCAAGGTACTGTTCCTGAGCTCTTTCTTTTTGCTCAAAGCTCTGGCTCCTGCTCTACCACTTAAGCCACTTCTCAACATCCAGGTTTTTTTCTGTGATTAATTGGAGATAAGAGTCTCACAGACTTTCCTGCCCAAGCTGGCTTGAAAACGATCCTTAGATCCCAGCTTCCTGAGTAGCTAGGATTACAGGTGTGAGCCACTGGTGCCTGGCAGTTTCCTGCCTTTTTTCCCAGTGCCTCAGAATGAGACCCTTCTACCTTTGCCTCCTCAGTAGCTGGGATTCTAGGCATGAACCTACTTAACCATCTTCCTTAACCTTTGAGGTACAGTAGAGGCAAAGCACTAGTCTACCTCTTTGCCCCTTGCTACTTGTTTAGCACATTCTGCACATATGTACACACAGTTAAAAACAAGCATAGACGTGTACACACAAGACACATATGGAAGTTTGTACAGATTTACACATAGGGCAGAGGTATACCAGTTGGCTAGGGAAAATAGAATTGAATATTCTTATTATTCTTATTAGAGGAGACAAACCAGTGAGCACTAAAGGAGAAGAGAGACTTGGCGTAGCCTTTAATCTTTAGTCAGAATGGGGATTCAGCGCCCCCCCCTCTTGCCACTGGGGCTTGAACTTGGAGCCTGAGTGCTGCCCTTAGCTTTGTCACTCAAGGGTGGCTCTCTTAATACTTGAGCCACAGCTTCACTTCCAACTTTTTTGCTGATCAACTGGACGTAAGGGTCTTGTGGACTTTCCTGTCCAGGCTGGCCTCGAAACTTGAGCCTCAGATCTTAGCTTCCTGAGTAGGTAGGATTATAAGTGTGAGCCACCAGCACCTGGATAGACTTTGGTCTTGAGGGTAAGATAGTGAGCCATTCTTAAAAAGAAAGGGAGGAGGGCAAAGGGGGAGGATTTGATTTCTGGATCCTTACACTAGGGAGTTAAAAGTCCAGAAAGGACAAGAATACTTGAATGCTAGATCTGAGAGAAAAAGCGTATGTGTGTGTGTGTGTGTGTGTGTGTGTGTGCACACGCACATGATCTCGTGCAGGGGAGGGGTGTGTGCCTTGGTTTCTGCTTCTGAGAGCAGGGGTCTGAAGCTCAGGCTACTATAGCTGATCGAGAAAGGACGGGAGGGGGGAAATGTATCTCCAATGTCAAATTCCTGATTATGAGGAAAATCTGGAGAAAGAAACTTACTAAGAAGGATCCCCCCCAAATGTTGGTCCCTACCCCCACCATCTCCCCACTTCCTGGCCTGGCCAGGAAGACAAAGCTAATTGTGTGGCTCTGTCCCAGCTTTGATGCAGCCAAGTTCCCAAAGGGAAGATTGGAAATCCAAGCCCTGTCCCTAATAGAGTCTTGGAGAGAGGGTGGGCAGAGGGTTGGATATCTAGGTGGATCCTAGGAGGTACAGGAGCAGGTGATTCATATACTAAAGTTCGCCCCTCCCCATCCCTACACACACACACACACACACTCGGCCCTTAGCATGGGGATGGGAGGCCTGGCATCTCCAGGAGAGGAGTGGAGGGGGCTGGAATTGGGGGCGGGGGTCCTGGCCCAGGCTCTACCCCCTCCATGCCCCCTCCCCGTGGGTGCCCAAGCCGCCGCGCGCTCTCTGGCTCTGGCCGTCTCGCTCGCTCGCTCGCTCTGCGCAGAGCTCCGCGCTATTGTCCTGGCGCGGGGCGGGGCCGGCGCGGGGCGGGGCCGGCGCGGGGCGGGGCCGGGGCGGGGCGGGGCCGGCGGCCTCGGCGGCGGCGGCGGTGGTGGCGGCGGTGGTGGCGCCGGGAGCTCCTGTCACCGCTGGGGCTGGGGCTGGGCCCGGACCAAGCCAGGGGCGGGGTGGGGTGGAGAGTGCTGGGGACCTGACGGGAGGTGAGGGCCGGGATATGGGGCCCTGCAACCCCGTGGATCGCGGTCGGGGCCCGCCGCCACCTTTACCTCTGCTGCTGTCTCTCTTGCTGCTCCTCCTGCGCGCGCAGCTGGCCATCGGGAGCCCCGGTGGGGCCGAGGTGAGGCCTGGGGGGGAGGGCGCGGGTGGGGGAAGGGACGGGGGAGAAGGGGATGGGGAAGGGGTGGGACCTGACCTCTGGACACCCTCCTCTCCCTATTCCCGGACTTGTCCAAGGGCAGAAAGCACAGGTGTTGTTGTTGTTTATAATGATTATTTTTCCAGACAGATGTGTTATTTGTGAAACCACCCCCCTCCCCAAGATTTCAGGCCTCAGTCCTTCCATCATCTGTCTGTCAGTTCCCCGGGCCTTCTTATCGGTTGCAATGTTAGGGATTGGTCTTCAGCAACCCTCCCCGCCTCCAGACCCTCTCTCCAGACCCCAGCCCCTCAACACCTGAACATACGATTCACCCCTCTTTCCCTCCACCCCCTCCCCCCACCAGCAGCCAGGGTACACGGATCCCAGAATCCAGGCCAGGATCTTACACCCTCTCCATCCCTAGTCCAGCTTCTAGAACCCAGTGATCCAGGCCTCCCAACAGTACTCCCAACCCCCAACCTTCAACCGGGAGGGAGCTTTCTGGTCGGCAAAGGCCTGTTATGCAGGCCTCCGGGAGAACCAGGCCCTGTGTGTCATCTTTGCACCCCTCTGCTATGGGAGCCTGATCTAGGGATGGAAGGAGGAGGAGGGGGCCGGGACACCTGGGTTCTGGGGCCTCCTCCCCCACCCCCATCGCACGATTCAGATTTAACCCCTTCCTGAGGGGGAGGTGCTCCAGATCCGCTGCTCTGGGGGTGGAGGTGGAGCCTGTCTCCGCAGCAACAAGGCCGCAAGAAACCCGGGAGAGGGGGGGAGGGAGGGAGGAAGGGGGACCTGGGTTGCCATAGCAACGGGAGAGCCGGGGGCGCCCCCGCCCTAAAGAGAGCTGTTTCCCCGGGAACGAACCCTTCACCCAGGTCCTTAGAGGAAGAGGGCTCTGGTGCTGATGGGCAGAGGTCTGAATATCTGGGGCCTCGGGGGTACAAGAGCAGGTGCTTCACTTGCCTCACTGGGTCCTCAATGCCCTGTCTGCCTCCACTTCCAGGCTCCAGGGTCTGCCCAGGTGGCTGGATTATGTGGGCACCTAACCCTTCACCGAGATCTGCGCACGGGCCGCTGGGAACCAGATTCTCAGCACTCACAGCGCTGTCTCCGGGACCCCCAGCGTGCGCTGGAGTACTGCAGACAGGTGGGTGGGGACAGATCAGCGGCCGGGGTGGGGGGGAGTGGCGGCTGGTCAGCGGTTAAGCGGGACCCAAATGCGACGAGAAGCTAGACGGGCAAAAGGCAGCAGGGTCTGGCTGGAGATGTTAAGAAGGCTGGGGAACTAAGGGGAGGGGAAGGGGGTGTGTGGCTCCAGGAGCAGCTAAGCCAAAACTATTTGGATAAACAATCTGGAGAGAAGAGAAGGGAGCAAAGATGTCAGCTAATCAAGACAATTAGTTAAGTGGTGGTGGGGGGGGGGGTGGAGAGGGTTGAAAGCTAGTGGGATTTGTAAAAGATTGAAAGTGGGCGTGGCCAAAGGAGAGGTGGGGCTAAGACAAAAAAGAGGCTAGTGGACCTGCAAAGTGGGGGTGGGGGGAGTGATAGAGGCCAGTGAGAGATTGGCTAGCTGGGAGGCGTGGCCAGGAATGGACAGGTCTAATGCAAAATGAGCAAGGACTCAGAGGCCAGAGAAAGGGGAGGGGCATGAAAGAGCATGATGGGGTCCAGGGTAGATGGTAGGGGACACTTGTCTCCTGACCGGTGGCCTTAGATTAGTTTATGGACAGGTAAAAGAGAAAGATGCTGAACAGGAGACTGAGGTGTGGCTCAAGGGCAAAGAGCACAAGCCTAGCAAACTAGAGGCGGCCCTGTGATGAAACCCCAGGACCAGCCAGGCACTGGTGGCTGATGCCTGTAATCCAAGCTACTCAGGAGGCTGAAATATGATGATTGAGGTTTGAAGCCAGCCTGAGCAGAAAAGTGTGAGACTTTTGTGTCTAATTAACTATTGAAAAGTTGGAATTGAGCCAGGCGCCTGTGGCTCATGCTTGTCATTCTAGCTATTCAGGAGGCTGAGATCTGAGGATGGCAGTTCAGAGCCAGCCAAGGCAGGAAAGTCTGTGAGACTCTTATCTCCAGTGAAGCACCAGAAAGCTGGAAATGGCACTGTAGCTCAAAGTGGTATAGCACTAGCCTTGAACACAAAAGCTCAAGGACAGTCCCCAGACCCTGAATTCAAGCCCCATCACAAACAAAAACAAAAAATAAGCTGGAAGTGGAGGTGTGACTCGAGTTGATAGGGCAACTAGACAAGCCTATACTGGACAAGATGAAGGAACTTTTTTTGTTGTTGTTGTTAGGCGTGGGGCTTGAACTCTGGGCCTGGGCACTGTCCCTGAGCTCTTCAGCTCAAGATGAGTACTCTATCACTTAAGCCACAGCGCCACTTCTGGTTTTCTGGTGGTCAATTGGAGACAAGAGTCTCATGGAGTTTCTTGCCTGGGCTGGCTTTGAATCATGATCTTCAGAACTCAGCCTCCTGAGTAGCTAGGATTACAAGCATGAGCCACTGGCACCTGGCTAAGATGAAGGAACTTTTAAGAGGGTGGGGTGGAAGGGTGTCCAGTGAGTACCAAGGCTTAGATATCTAAGGATGGTTCAATGGAGAAGCAAGGCCCAAAGGATGGAGAAGTTCTTTGGAATACAGAACCTAGAAAAGGAAACAGCCAGTGAAGAGCTCGAATGACTAGCAAGCAAGGGTAGTGGGCTGATCTCCCCTTTCTGATATCTGCAGATGTATCCGGAGCTACACATTGCTCGTGTGGAGCAGGCTGAACAGGCTATCCCCATGGAAAGCTGGTGCGGGGGCACCCGGGACGGCCGCTGTGCCCACCCCCATCCCCACGTTGTGCCCTTCCTCTGCCTGCGTGAGTCACAGACTGGGGGTGGGGACCTGAGACCAGGTTCGGAGTCTCTCTCTCTGTCTCTGGCCCACATTAGAGGGCCAAGTGGCCTGCATTTCTGGTCAGGCAGAGGCGCCTGAGGATAAGCTATTTGAATTCTGAGGAGGGCGGACTTGTAGCCTGTGGGTGCATCTCATTCCGGTACCTTCCACATACCCACATTCCCCAGCTGGTGAATTTGTCAGCGAGGCCCTGCTAGTGCCAGAAGGCTGCCGGTTCCTGCACCAGGAGCGCATGGACCAGTGTGAGAGTTCAACTCGGAGACATCAGGAGGCTCAAGAGGTCAGAACCCTGCTCCACCTACCCCTGCATCCCCTCCACACACCACGGACCAGAGCCCAAAGCCCTTGACCACCTTTTTCACCAGAAAGCAGGAGTTTTGGCCAACAACCCTGCTTTTCCCACTAACATATAGGAATTCCATCCCTCAGCCCCCTCCATACCCCATCCCCCCCCCAAATAAAACCAGAAAACCAGCCCAAGACCCAGTTATCAGACTCTCCATTTATCCCCTTCCTGCTTCACAATCTTGGCCTCTGGGCCTCTTTTTCCCACAGGCCTGCGCCTCCCAGGGCTTCATCCTCCACGGCTCGGGCATGCTTTTGCCCTGTGGTGCAGATCGGTTCCGAGGTGTGGAGTATGTCTGCTGTCCTCCTCCAGCCACCCCCGATCCTTCTAGGACAGCAGTTGGGTGAGTGGGCTGGGAACACTCCCTTCCCACCCCCCTCCCCAACCCCACCCCCCTCTCCCACCAAGAGGTACCAAGAGGTAAAGGATGGATCTTACTTCCTGAGTCTTCTGCTTTCTCAGTGACCCTTCTACCCGGTCCTGGCCCCTGAGTGCCAAAACAGAAGGGGGTGAGAATGAAGAAGAGGAGGAGTCTCTCCTACAACCAGTGGATGATTACTTCGTAGAGCCGCCCCAAGCTGAAGAGGAAGAGGAGGAAGAAAGAGGCCCACCCCCAAGTTCCCATACCCCAGGATTGACCAGCAAAGGTGAGGGCAGAAGTAGCCATCTTCCTAGTCCTCTTTCACCATGTGAGGGAGGCCCAATGGAGGTGATGTAAGAGAAAGGAGTAGCTTTGGAAGCACTAGCCTGCAATAAATGCAGAGGGACTGGTAGGTTTGGAGGCACTAGGAAGTGGAGAAACCATTTGATAGGTCCCCGGGGTCATTGGAAATAAAGATGGTATTAAAGGATTTTGTGCCAGGTGCCAATGGCTCACACCTGTCATCCTAGCTACTCAGGAGGTTGAGATCTGAGGTTCGTGGTTCAAAACCAGCCCCAGAAAGTAAAGTCCATGAGCCTCTTATGTCCAATGAACCACCAAAAAGCTGGACATGGAGCTGTGGCACAAGTAGTGGTAGAGTGCTTAGCCTTGGGGGGGGGGCGCGGGGGAGCTCAGGGACAGCACTCAGTCCTTGAGTTCAACCTCTAAGACCAGAACAAAAAAAAGGGGGGGGAGGCGTTCTGAGCTTTGTGAATAGAGGCAAGGGGCCAGAAATACATTTCCACAGTGCCAGCTTGGTAATTGCTGTGGTTGAACTGCATGGGTGATGGTCGTACTCAAGGACATGATTCTTCAGCCTGATCCTTGGTTTTTGCAGTCACCCCCACCCCCAGGCCCACCGACGGTGTGGATGTTTACTTCGGCATGCCTGGGGAAGTCAGTGAGCATGAAGGCTTCCTGAGAGCCAAGATGGACTTGGAGGAGCGCAGAATGCGCCAGATTAATGAGGTGACAGCCCCCCATCCTATAACAACCACAGAGCCCCCCCAAATACCAAGAACACATGGAGATTACCTTCAAACGCTACCCCAGCCTCCTTCAACCCTAAAAACCCTCAACATCACTTCCAAAGCTTCCACTCCCCCACCTGGAGACCCACTGAGATGCCACCACATGCTATGGAAACTCTGGTCCATGGCACTGTCCCCTCTGAATTCTTTTTGGGTGTTCTCTCTTTGGGAAGCCAAAAGCAAGTAAGACTAAGAATTTTAGATCCTCCCGTGTTTTTGAATGATTGGCTCACTCACCATGTGAATGTGGAGTGGGGGACGGGGGTGGATTCCTGGATCCAAAAGCTCCCCTTCCCCCTCCCAGGTGATGCGTGAATGGGCCATGGCTGACAACCAGTCCAAGAACCTGCCTAAGGCCGACAGGCAGGCCCTGAATGAGGTAGGTCAGCATCCCATGATCCTTTTCATGTCCACCTCCCCTATCCTGTACATTCTCTCAGCCTAGACCTGCCCCCATGTTTTTCCTAATTTCCCTTGGCCTTTGCAGGCCCCACCCCCTTGACCTGTCATTGCTCTCTTCTGATTGGCCATCTATAGCCCTATTTACATTGACTCCTCCCCCCATCTCTGGCGTCTTCACACAAGCCAAGCCCCAAGACCCTTTTAGACCCTGGCCCCTGGCTCTGGCCCCGCCCCTCTGATCTCACTGAGTTGATTCAGTTCCACCCCAGCAAGCTGCGCCATCTAACTCTGGATCCACTTCCTTCATCCTGGCCTTGGTGCAGCCCTATCCCATGCACACCCCACTCATGTCAGCCTCCAACTCAACCCTGGGTCCCCGCCATGACTATCATGAAGACCTGTATGACGGCCCTGCCTTCTCTGCAAGACTTGGTTCCCATCATATTAACATTGATCCATTCTGGTCTCAGATGGTTTCCACCCTAAGATTGGCTCCCAGCAGGCTGAGCCCTTACTCCCACTTTACCTGGCCTTATAAGCCCACCCTTTCCAGCCAAGACCCACTTGTACCATAGCCCTGCCTATCCAGACTCCCTTTAACTTAATTTTCACTTTTTGTTATTTACTTTTTGTTTTGTTTTGTTTTGTGATGGTACTAGGGCTTAAACTCAGACCCTGGTCACACTGTCCCTTTGCTTTTTTGCTCAAAGCTGATGCTCTACCATTTGAGCCAAAGCTCCACTTCCTGTTTTTGGGTGGCTAATTGTCGATAAGAGTCTCCAAGAGCCCAGAGCTGGCTGAGATCTTAGTATCAAGGTTCAAAGCCAGCCTAGACAGGAAAGTCCAGGAGACTTTTTTTTTTTTTTTTTTTGTCGGTCGTGGGGCTTGAACTCTGGGCCTGGGCGCTGTCCCTCAGCTCTTCAGCTCAAAGCGAGCGCTCTACCACTTGAACTACAGTGCCACTTCTGATTTTCTGGTGGTTTATTGGAGATAGGAGTTTCACGGTCTCTTCTGCCCGGGCTGGCTTTGAACTGCGATCCTCAGATCTCAGCCTCCTGAGTAGCTAGGATTACAGGCGTGAGCCACCAGCGCCCGGCTCCAGGAGACTTTTATCTCCAGTTAACCACCGGAAAACTGGAAGGGGCTCAACATGGTAGAGTGCTATCCTTGAGCAAAAGGAGCTCAGGTACAATGCCCAGGCTCTGAGTTCAAGCCCTATGACCAACTCAACAAAAAGAAAGTCTCCTAGACGATCCTGTCCCAGGGCTGCTTTTAAAGCAGGATTCTCAGATCTCTCCTTAGTTGCTGGGATTACAAACATGAACCACCAACTTCCTGGGCTCTTTCAACTCTTTTTTTTTCTTTTTTTGTCAGTTGTGGGGCTTGAACTCTGGGCCTGGGCACTGTCCCTGAGCTCTTCAGCTCAAGGCTAGCACTCTACCACTTTGAGCCACAGCACCACTTCTGGTTTTCTGGTGGTTCATTGGAGATAAGAGTCTCATGGACTTTCCTGCCCGGGCTGGCTTGGAACTGCGATCCTCAGATCTCCGCCTTCTGAGTAGCTAGGATTACAGGCATGAGCCACTGGTATCCTGCTTAACTCATTTTGAGTCCCCCATTCCTGTTCTCAACCCCCTCCCCCACCACCAGCACTTCCAGTCCATTCTTCAGACCCTGGAGGAGCAGGTGTCTGGTGAGCGCCAACGTCTGGTGGAGACCCATGCCACCCGGGTCATCGCTCTTATCAATGACCAGCGCCGAGCTGCCCTGGAGGGCTTCCTGGCAGCACTACAGGGAGATCCACCTCAGGTATGGCGGTGATGGGGGGGGGGGACAGAGAGTAGAAGGTGACAAGGGTTAGGGTAGGCCTTGGCAGCCTTCATCCTTCCCACAGGCAGAGCGTGTACTGATGGCCCTGCGGCGCTACCTGCGTGCTGAGCAGAAGGAGCAAAGGCACACATTGCGCCACTACCAGCATGTAGCCGCTGTGGATCCGGAGAAGGCCCAGCAGATGCGTTTCCAGGTGCTCACACACCTCCAGACCTTAGCTGTCCTGTTCACCCCACCCCTCAGACCTCTCTTCCTTCTCTTTTCTTTTTCTCTTGGCTGTGGGGCTGGAACTCAGGGTCTGGGCCCTGTCCCTAAGCTCTTCAGCTCAAGGCAAGTGCTCTACCACTTAAGCCACAGCACCACTTCCATTTTTTTTTTCTGGTGGTTAATTGGAAATCAGAGTCTCATGGACTTTCCTGCCCAGGCTGGCTTTGAGCCTTGATCTTCAGATCTGAGCTCTTGAGTAGCCAGGATGACAGATATGAGCCACTGGCACCCAGCTTCTCCCTTCTCTTTGTATCCTGTTTCTTCTGCACTTCCTTTATCCTGTGGCTGTTCCTGACCTTTTATATCCTACATTCTCTCTGTGGTGGACTGGATGAGCTTTTTCCTTGCAATCTGTTGAAATTCCCCCTTCATCTTGACTCACTTTCTTCTTCTCAGGCCTGTATGGCCCAGTTCAGCCTTTATTTTCTATTATCCACAGGTACAGACACACCTTCAGGTAATTGAGGAAAGGATGAATCAAAGCCTGGGGCTGCTGGACCAGAACCCACACCTAGCTCAGGAGCTGCGACCCCAGATCCGTGAGTGCCCCTTCGGCCCCCATTCCAGATCTCTGAAGGGAGACCTTGAACCCCAGCCCTCAACACCTCCCTCCTCCCCCCTACATACACACATGCCTTTTCAATGATCTAGGCTTTGTAGCCCTAGAATTTAGTGGTGCAATTCAACAGCCCTGTTTCTTCATTCATGATAGTGCCATGTGGTCTGGGTTGGGTAGAGTGGTTCTTCCAGTGGTCTTGCCAATAGTCAGGTGTGCAGCTGTAGTTAAACTGGTGGATCATTTGGAGGCTGGGACTGTGGCAAAAGTGCCTCTTTCCCTCTCCAAGTAGGGCATCTCTTTCCATGGAGCCTCTTCATGTGGTCTCCAGCAGGATAGCCATGAACTCAGGGCCTGGGCACTGTCCCTGAACTTTTTTGCTCAAGGTGGGTGCTCTACCACTTGAGCTACATTCCACTTCTGTCTTTTTGGTGATTCATTGGAGATAAGAATCTAATGGAAGCCGAGCGCTAGTGGCTTACACCTGTAATTCTAGCTACTCAGGAAGCTGAGATTTGAGGATCTCGGTTCAAAGCCAGCCTGGGCAGGAAACTCATGAGACTCTTATGTCCAATTAACCACCAGAAAGCTGGAAGTGGTGCTGTGGCTTAAGTGATAGAGTGTTTGCCATGAGTTGAAGAGCTGAGGGACAGTGCCCAGGCCCAGAGTTCAGGCCCCATGACTGACCAAAAAAAAAAAAAGGAATCTCATGGACTTTGCTGCAGGTTCTGTTTTGAAACATGATTGTCAGATCTCAGCCTCCTGAGTAGCTAGGGTGACTAGCACCCACCGATTTTTGTTTGGCTGGGCTTTTTGTTTTGTTTTCAGTGCTCAGGATAGAACCTGGGGACTTGCATGCTTTAGGCAAATGCTTTACCACTGAGCTACATCATCAGCTCCTCTCAGTCTTCTTAAGGATTGGGCTTATGTTCCCTTAGTTAGAACAAGTGATAAAATGCAAGGGGAGGAGCCTACATAAAAGCACGAATCCAGCCAGGTACTGGTGGCTCACGCCTGTAATCCTAGCTACTCAGGAGGCTGAGATCTGAGAATTGTGGTTCAAAGACAGCCTGGGCAGAAAACTCTGTGAGACTCTTATCTCCAATTAACCACCAGAAAGCAGGAAGTGGCACTGTGGCTCAAGTGGTAGAGCGCTTGCCTTGAGCTGAAGAGCTGAGTGACAATACCCAAGCCCAGAGTTCAAGCCCCTCGTCTGACCAAAAAAAAAAAAAGCACAAATCCCAGAAAGCATGACCTTACACAGCCCCCAGATCAATTGTGCCCTCCTCCTAGATGTCCCACGCCTGACCCCAAATCTCCTGATATTTAAGTAAGTCAGACTCTTGAAACTTCATCCTCCATCCTGCCTGCCAAAGGGATGCCCCATCCACCTCCCCACTTTTCCATGTCACAGTGCTAACACCACACTTGATCTCTCTACCACTGGACAAAGAGGGCACTATTCACTCACCCCATTTTGTTTGTGGAATCCCTATACTCAGCCACCCCTCTACATGTTCCCACCTTCCCCCACCCCTTCCACAGAGGAACTCCTCCACTCTGAACACCTGGGCCCCAATGAATTGGAAGCCACTGTGCCTGGGAGCAGCATTGAGGATAAGGATGGGCCTCAGCCATCAGATCCAAAGGACGGTGAGTGAGTCTAAGAGAGACGACCCCAGACTTCAGGGGATAAGCCCTCAGTCTCATTCCTGATCTCCCCAAAGTCTGCTGGTTATCAGCCCGGGGAAGAAGTTTCTCCACTATTTCTATGACAATGGCCTCCTCTCTTTACTCTTCCTCCTGCCTTGTCCCTCCGGCTGCCAGCAGACAGCCCCAAGACCCTTCCAAAAGGTGAGTGTCAACCAGAGCAGACCCCAGCCACTAAAGCCTACTGAATTCTAAACCCCAAACGGAGAAGGGTCCATAACTTGGGAACCCCAGGCTTCCAGGGGGTGAAATCCACCACTGGACCCTCAAGAGTGAGATGGAACTTGGGGGGAGGGGTAGGGTCCACAGAACAAGATGTTCCATCCCCTGGGAAAGAGAAGATACTCCCCTTGGAGCAGAATGAGCAGAAGGTAAGCATGTTGGGCCTGGGCGGGGAGGGGGGCTAAAGGGGAGGCATCTGAGGGAAGGTGGGAAGGAGGGGCCTGGACTCCTGGTCCTGAGAGAGGGAGGTGCTATAGGTTCCTAAGACCAGGGCTGGAGGGCATGGACTTCTGGGTACTGGGAAAGGAGAGGGATCCCTCCTAAGCTGGGATGAGGGGGGGGCATGTTAGGTCCTATGACTCTTCCTGTTCTCCCTTCCGCCCCAGGTCAATGCGTCTGCCCCAAGGGGTTTTCCATTCCACTCTTCAGAGATCCAGAGAGATGAACTGGTAAGAGACAGACGCAGGGGACATTTAGGGGAAGGTTAGAGGTTAGTCTGTTTAGTGAGACCTCAAAGCACACACAGAATCCAAGGTGAGCCTCAAAGATGCCTTTGCCTCCCTTCCCCCCCCCCCCATCCTTCTCTTCCCCACAGGCACCGGCTGGGACAGGCGTGTCCCGCGAAGCTGTGTCTGGTCTGCTGATTGTGGGAGCTGGAGGGGGCTCCCTCATCGTCCTGTCCCTGCTGCTCCTGCGCAGGAAGAAGCCCTATGGGACTATCAGCCACGGAGTGGTGGAGGTGAGGAGAGGGGGATGTGGTATGGGCATGGATGGACCACCAGCTCCCGGAGCTCAAAGCATGACACCCTCCTTCCATTCCTCTTCCCCGCCCACCCCCATCCTTGCTGTAGGTGGACCCCATGCTAACCCTGGAGGAGCAGCAGCTTCGAGCACTGCAGCAGCATGGCTATGAAAATCCCACCTATCGCTTCCTGGAGGAACGACCCTGAACCTGCCCCCTTGCCACTGTCAGACCACCCCTCTAGGTCCTGGATCCCCTAAGACCGCCCCCCCCCAACTCCCAGCCTAGGGGTGGGGGAGGGAAGTCCCGACAAGTTCATTCTTCTTTCCCCTTTCCCAGTTCCAAAATTCCATCCCTAAAAAAAATAAAATCCCCAGGTATCCCCAGCTGCTGCCCTTTCCCCCTTGGGACAACTCCGCTTCCCTCACCTTAATTTATTTTAAGTTAATTTATTGCTTCTTAAGGTGACCACTACTTTGGTCCCAGTGTCTGTGGCCTCCCTGGATTTCCTCTTCCCACGTTTGTCCAACTAACATACCAATAAAGTCCTCTTCCCCCACTAGACCATCTTGTGTCTCTCTGGGAGGATCGGGGTGTAAGGACAGTTAGCACAGCTGCTTGTGCGGTTGCACCCGCACCTCCCTTCCCCCCTTCCCCCCCCCCCAGCCCCTCATCGCCTCCTTTAAGTCTTTGACTGGTTAATGGCCCTTTAAATGTGGGCGGGGCTATGGGAGGGGTGCTAGTGCTTGCGGAGGGGCGTGGTCTTGGTTGGACGTTCTGCGCCGGCGCAGGAGCTTTCTATGGTGCTGAACCGCGGAGTCTCCCACGTGTGTCTGCCAGATCCCCAAGTCCGGGGTCCCAGAGAGGGTCATGGCAGGTCTACAGGGGCCTGTTGAGAGATGGCCCCTGCACGTGTCCGGCTGTGTAACCTTTGGGGTTAACCTTCTCCAGATGTTGCTGCCTGCCCCAAGATAAGTTATTAGGAGAACTGAGAGGGTTGGTGTTGGCCCATAGAAACGGAACTCATCTAACCCCATCTACGTAGATTAGGAGATGGAGGCCGAGAGAAGTTACAGCGTGAACCTAAGGTTGCATCTGGGCATAGTGGGAATAGGAATTCAGCCCAGGAAGGTTGTCTCCCAGCATGTAGATGCTTGACCATTTTGCTAAGCTGTTGGCTAATTCACTACAGAATTCAACTTGTGCACTGTAGGCCGAGTGTGGTTGACGCATGACTGTAATCCTTCCCATACTGGAGGCAAAGGGGAGGAGGTCTCAGTTTCAAGGCCAGCCTGAGGATAAATAAGGAGAGGAAAGAAAGAGAGAGAGAGAAAGAAAGAAAGAAAGGGAGGGAGGGAGAGAGAAAGAAAGAGAAAAAGAAAAGAAAAGAAAGACGGATACTGGTGGCTCATGCCTGTAATCCTAGCTACTTAGGAAGATGAGAAATGAGGATTGCAGTTCAAAGCCAGCCTGGGCAGAAAAGTCCATGAGACATCTCTAGAAAAATCCGGACGTGGTGCTGTGGCTCAAGTAGTAGATTGCTAATAAGCTTTGAACAAAAAAAGCTCAGGGACAGTGCTCAAACCCTGAGTTCAAACTCCAGGACCTGCAAATTAATTAATTAAATACATTTTCTTTTCTTTTCTTTTTTTGCCAGTCCTGGGGCTTGAACTCAGGGCCTGGGCACTGTCCCTGAGCTTCTTTTGCTCAAGGCTAGCACTCTACCACTTGAGCCATAGCACCACTTCTGGCTTTTTCTGTTTTTGTGATACTGAGGAATCGAACCCAAGGCTTCATATGTGTTAAGCAAGCACTCTACCACTAAACCACACTCTTCAGCCCCTTATTTTCAAATTTTTAATTTAATTTTTTCAGTCAAGGGGCCTGAACTCTGGACCTGGGCGCTGTCCCTCAGCTCTTCAGTTCAAGACTAACACTCTACCACTTGAGCCACAGTGCCACTTCCAGCTTTTTCTGTTTATGTGGCACTCAGGAATCAAACCTAGGGCCTCATGCGTGCAAGGCAAGCACTCTACCACTGAGCCACCTTCCCAGCCTCTCAAATATTTGAAGAAAAAAAAAAGTTAAGGCCAGGTGCCTGTAATCCTAGCTACTCAGGAGGCTGAGATCTGAGGATGATCACGGTTCAAAGCCAGCCCAGGCAAGAAACTCCATGAGACTCTTATCTCCAATAAACAACTCAGAAGACTGAAGTGGCACTGTGGCTCAAGTGGTAGAGTGCTTGACTTGGGCTGAAGAGCTGAGGGACAGCACCCAGGCCCAGAGTTCAAGCCCCATAACCAAAAAAAAAAAAAAAAAAAATGTTGAGGTGCCAGTGGCTCACATCTGTAATCCTAGTTACTCAGGAGCCTGTGATCTGAGGATTACAGTTCAAAGCCAGCCTGAACAGAGAAGTACATGGTCCTTATCTCTAATTAACTATCAAAAAGCCAGAATTGGAGGTGTGGCTCAACTGGTAGAGCACTAGTCTTGAGTGAAAAAGCTAAAGGACAGCAGCTAGGCCCTGAATTCAAGCTCCAGGTCCTCACATAAACAGATAAAAGCCCTTTACACTAGACATGGTAGATTTGCCCCTTTTTAAAAATCACAATGGGCCAGCAGATGGCAGTATCTTGCCACAGTCTAACATAATTAAAATCACCATTTTTCCAACAGATGGTTTGGGGAGGGAGGACTGGATTTCTATCTCTCCCAAAGGGCCCATGAGCTGATAAAAGCTCTTCATAATATACCCATGTAAACACAGGTCATGTATATTAAACACACACCTGGAAGGCAGAAGATGCTTTGTAATACAAGGTGGAGACAGTGTGAATAGTTCTCTAAGGATGCCTGGGCTTGTGACCATTGGTTCTATTTTCAGTTGTCCTGAGCCTTCCACTAATGCCACAGGTCAGAGGAAAGCTACCTCTGTGCTTCCATGGCCGTGAGACAGCTACAGACTAACAGGTAAGGACTTTCCAGCCGTGAGACTAGAAATAAAGCACCTCTTTTTCTCAATAGAATCAGTGTGCGATTCCTTAATGAAGTATTCCTTAACAAATGCGGTGATTTGGTAATGAACTATGGGCACTTTAACTAGAACAATGTGTTTTTTAAATGCTGCTATTACTAAAACATTATTTTGCCATTGTTTACTTAATACCCTTTTGCTCCCAATTGCTCTTTTTCCTTTTTTTTTTTTAATCTCTGGGCCTCTTGAAATAGATCTGATTTTTCCATTCGTGACAGGCTTTCTTTATAACTCGAATCATGCCTCTAGTTCTAGTTTGTTGCCCCTTCCTTGGAGATAAGAGTCTCCAGAACATTCCTGCCTAGGTCCTCTGATCTTAGCCTATGGAGTAGCTAGACTCACAGGCATGAGCCACCGGTACCTGCCCTGAAAAAAGCCACAAAAGGAAGGCAGCCATCTGCCAACCTGGAAAAGGCCCACAGCAGACAGGAGGCTCTGGGAATCCCTTGCTCTTGAACTTCCCAGCCCGCAAGAAGCAAAATTTGACAAGAGCTGGCTGTAAAGAGTGTCCCTTGTGTCAGCTACATGCACCATCCAAGCCACATGTGGGGTACTGCAGCTACCTCCCACAACCAACACCCCCAAAGACAAGATGACAACATCACTGGCTCTCACAAGAGTTTAATAGGGAGACTCAGGATGGACTAGCAGAGGGTTTGTTGGGGTCTCTGCAGTCTGGGGCAGGGACTCCCTAGCTCTCTGTGTAGGAAAGGTCTTGACACCTCAGGGGTGTAGGTCTAGGGTCATCAGAAGAAACCCACTGGGCTAGAATCATGATTCTCTGAGTCCCAGGAAAGGGGCTTATATTTAAGGTGTTTGGATATGAAGGGCTGTTAGGGCAAGAATCCTGAAGGATCCAAGTAGATGGAAGGTTCCATGGTTCCGGGGTGTTTCACAGAAACAATCAAGGGGCCTCGATTTCACAGAAATCATTAAAAAATAGCCTTTGTGAGGGAAGGAGGGATCACACCACCCCAAATATTGGGGACTGTTCACCCCCCCACCCCCAGCAGCCACTTGGGGGTTTTAATGTAAGACCCCAATGGCAAGACACTCCACACACATCACGGATCTGCAACATTAGCATACGCTGGCTGTCCCACGGGACGGTGGGGACTGGAAAAATCAGTCCAGGTTCTGGGTTTGAGTCCTAAGAGGACAAACCTGGGGGGCCACACGGCTCCTCTTCAACAGCTGCCGGAGCTGTGGACAAACAGGAGAGGTGAGAAGGGGAAATGAGGGAGTTTGCCATGCTCAGTTAAAGACTGACTGGTTGAAGCTCAGTCAAAATCTGAGGTTGGGGCTGGGTGCTGCAGCTCACACCTATAAGCCCAGCTACTCCAGAAGTGAGGACAATGGCCGTTGAAGCACAAGCTGGACAAATACATTAGCAAGATTCCAATCTCAACCACCAAGTAGGCGTGGTGGTGCATACCTGTCATCCCACCTACATGGAAGGAAGGGGCAGGAGGATGGAGTCAGCCCAGGGGGAACCCTATCTGAAAATTAAGTTAAAGCCATGGAGGCCTGGCTCAAGGGGTTGAGCACTTGTGCTTACTACCCAGTGCAAGGCCCTGAGTCCAGACCCTAGAACTGCAAACAAATAAATAAAGACTAGGCCAGGGGCCGGTGGCTCACGCCTTTAATCCTGGCTACTCAGGAGCTGAGATCTGAGGATCACCAGTTTGAAGCCAGCCAGGCAGGAAAATCCATGAGACTCTTATATCCAATTAAGTATTTAAAAAAAAAAAAAAGCTGGGAATGGAGCTGTGGCTCAAGTGGTAGAATGGCCCCAGGGACAGTGCCTAGGTCCTGAGTTCAAGCCCCAGGAGTAACACTTAAAATGGAAAAAAAAATCTGGGATTAGAAGTATTCAAGATATGAGTTTGACCACTGAGCAAAAGTCTGAAGCCAGAATGGAGAGAATGATGGACTGACAGGAGTGGGGGCCAACCACATCCACATCCACACACACACACACACACACACTTAGCTCGGAAGCCACGCCCCCTCCATCCGCCCAGGTACAATGCTCACCCCTTCAGGGCCCGGACCAGGCCGCAGCAAGTGGATAGGCTGCTCGTTCTCCAGGTTACGCAGTGTTGGGTCAGCACCAGCTGCCAACAGGTGCCGCACAATGGCCTCCTGGGGGGGTCCAGGGGGCAGGGCAGCCGCCATGTGGAGGGCTGTGTTCCCATGAGCCTGCAACAGGGGTCATGGTGTGCTGGGCCCCGCTGTCCTGGCCCTACGGCCCTCTGCCTCTGCATTCTCCCCATCTCTCCCCACCCCATACCTCTCTGTGCCCAGCCCCACTGCCCTAGGCTACCCCCATCTCACACCATCTGCCCGGTCCCAGCCAGGCCACACCTTCATGTTGACGAAGGCTTGCAGGTCTACCCTTGGCAGTGCCAGCAGCAGCTGAACCAAGGTGGGATTGGCAGCCTGCACGGCCAGGTGCAGAGCGGTCTTGTTGCTCTTGATCTCCTGTGGGAAGAGGTGGTGAGTCAGGAGGGTCCTGCACTCCAACCCCCAACTCCAAAAAACTAGGACCAAGCTGGTAGCTCAGCCCTGTAATCCCTAGCTTCTCAGGAGGTTGAGATCTGAGGATCCTAGGTCAAAGCAAGCCAAAATAGGAAAGTCCCTGAGAATCTTATCTCCAATTACCCAGCAAAAAGTTGGAAGTGGCTGGGTACCAGTGGCTCACGCCTATAATCCTAGCTACTCAGGAGGCTGAGATCTTGAGGATCACGGGTTCCAAGCCAGCCTGAGTAGAATAATCCTTGAGACTCTTCTATGAACCACCAAAAAGCTGAAAATGGCTTGGAGCTGGTGGCTCACACCTGTAATCCTAGCTACTCAGGAGGCTGAAATCTGAGGATCGTGGTTCAAAGCCAGCGTGGACAGGAAACTCCTTGAGACTCTTATCTCCAATAAACCATCAGAAAACCGGAAGTGGTACTGTGGCTCAGGTGGTAGAGCATTAGCCCTGAGCTGAAGAGCTGAGGGACAGCGTCCAGGCCCAGAGTTCAAGCCCCACAACCGGAAAAAAAAAAAAAGCTGGAAATGGAACTGTGGCTCAAATGATAGAACACAAAAGCTAAGGGACAGTGACCTGAGTTCAAGCCTTTGGACTAGCAAAAAAACAGTTGGAAGTGGAGGTATGGCTCAAGTGGTAGAGCACCAGCCTTGAGGGAAAAAAGAAGAACTCTAAAGAACCATCCCAAGCCCTGAATTCAAGTCCCAATGAGGATGTGTGTGTGTGTACATGTGTATGTGTGTGCACGCGCGTGTGTGTGAAATCTAAAAAACTCAGTGCCTGCTGAATCAAAACTAAGATCAATAATACTGCTCCAGGTTGAAAAGACGCTGAACAGATAAGGAAAGTAATGTGCTCAAAGCCACACAGCTCGGAAGAACAAAGTCTGTGTTTGAACATCCAGGAGGCCCCAGCTCCCACAGCCTTACCTGGCTGGCATGGTTGGCACCCATGTGAAGCAACATCTGGACACAGGTCAACCTGTCCCGGGCCTGGGCACTCAGCACCCGAGGACAGAGGCTGGGTGGACGCATAGCAGCATTGAGAGCCAGGACAGCTGTGTGGAGGGGGGTGAGGCCTGCAGAGTGGAGATAGTGAGGGGCTCACTGGGGATCCCCAAATCCACCCCATCTGCCTGCCACACCAGTCCTGCCCAGACTCAACTTACCCTCAAAATCTCTGGCTTCCAGGTCCACCTGCACGCCTGACTTAAACACAGCCTGGAAGGGGGTGAAAGAGGAGAAAAATATGTCCTATCGAAGTCTCTCGCAAAAATCTCATCATAGAAACCACAATCCAGGCAACCCATCTACCCCAGACAGCCCGCCTGCCCATTGGGCATACCGAAAGGACTCCTGGGAGTCCATACGTAGCAGCCACATGCAAGACAGAACGGCCCTGGTAGTCAGCAGCATTAGGCCCGGCTCCCAGGTTCAAGAGATCCTCCACAATCAGAGGCTGATTGGCAGCAGCAGCCACAAGGAGAGGAGTCTGCAGGGGACAGAAAATATCAGCCTTGGGGCTGGGGATGTGGCTTAGTGGTAGAGTGCTTGCCTCACATGCAGGAAGCCCTGGGTTCAATTCCTCAGTACCACAAAAACAGAAAAAGCCAGAAGTGGCACTGTGGCTCAAGTGGAAGAGTGTTAGCCTTGAGCAAAAGAAGCTCAGGACCATGCCCAGGCCCTGAGTTCAAGCCCTAGGACTGGCAAAAAAAAAAGAGAGAGAGAAAGAAAGAATGAAAGAGAGAAAGAAGGAAAGAAAGAAAGAAAATATCACTTTCCTAGCCCTCAGGAGGCTGAGGTCTGAGGATTGAGGTTCAAAGCCAGCCTGGGTAGGAAAGTCCAGGAGACTCTTTATCTTCAGTAAACTATCAAAAAGCTAGGAAGTGGAGGTGTGGCTCACATGCAAGACTGCTCACCTTGAGTGGAAAAAGCTAAGGGACAGTGCCTAGGTCCTGAGTTCAAACCCCAATACTGGCACAAAAGAAAACATTAGCCTGAAGAACCTCCCATACCACTCTGATGTCAAGGAGTCCAGACCCCCAGCCTCACCTTGCCCTTATGTTCCCGGATGTCGAGGTTCCTGTACATCTGGAAAATCTCTGCTGCAGCATAGGCTGCCCAGCGCAGGCCTCGAGCAGCAAACAGGTGCAGGAGTCTGAGGACAGGTTGGGGGAGGGGGGGCAGCCGTGAGAACAGGCCCTGGCAGGGCCCGAGCCTGCAAATCACCCCTATCCCCCTTTCTACAGACTCACGTGTCTCCCTCCTCATCCTGAGCCAGAAGCTGCTCAGGTCCCAAAGCCAGTAGGTGAGCTCGTGCGGTATCCAGGGAGGGCCCCGTGGAAGGGGGCAACTGTGGGGGTCCTGAGGGGAGCCCAGATACTCGCCAGGATCCTGCCTGTGGCAGGGAAGGTTCTGCATAGAGCCGAGTATCCAGGGGGTCCTGATAGATCCAAGTGAAGGGAAGAGAGATCATCAGCTGAGAGCCCCGCCCCCTTCCCAGCCTACCACGTATACTGTGTATTCGAATATACAAACACAGGCCAAGGATCCGGGGGTCTGGGAAACAAAGGGATTTTGAAGATATGGGCTTCAGTTTTAACAATCTGAGGGATGGAATCTTTTTTGGTTTATGTGCCAGTACTAGGACTTGAACTCAGGGCCTGGACACTATTCTTGAGCTTTTTTGCTCAAGGTTGATGCTCTACCACTTGAGCCATACTTCCATTTCCAGCTTTTTGATAACTTATTGAAGATAAGACTCTCATGGACTTTCCTACCCCAGGCTGGTTTGAACTGATTCTTGAATAGCTAGGATAACAGGAATGAGCCGTCTGTGCCTAGCTAAAAATTAAATCTGAACCCAGCCTGGAATCTAAGAATACTGCATAAGAATCATGAGGATATTTTTTTTTTTTTTTGGTCAGTAGTGAGGCCTGGGTACTGTCTCTGAACCCTTTTGCTCAAGGCTAGCACTCTTATTACTTTGAGCCACAGCTCTACTTCCAGTTTTCACTAGAAATATGAGTCTCACAAACTTTCCTACCCAGGGCTGGCTTTGAACCAAGATCCTCAGATCTCAGCCTCCGGAATAGCTAGGATGACAGATGTGAGCCACTGGTGCCTGGCATGTCATGGGGAATCTTTAGAAGCCCTCCAATAGCCTGTCCCCATTGTGTCTCACCTCCATCACCAGGGGAACTGGGCCTGGCCTTGCTGGGTCAGGTGGTGGGTAGAAATCAGACATCAGGAAGTTATCAGACGCAGAGTAAGAGCAGGAGCTGTCTGTGTAGGCCCCATGCATGGCAGTAGGGTCCCAGACTGGAAAGCCTGTAGAGGGAGCCAGGCTGCCAATTCCAGAATTCGCAGTTTCCTGGAAGGCTGGGAAGTGAGTAGGGCCTGTGTGGATGAGGAAGGGTGAGGACAAGCCTGGTTACCAGAGCTATTAAGGCTGGCACTCTACCACTTGAGCCACAGCTCCACTTCTAGCTTTTTGGTGGCTCACTGGAGATAAGTCTCATGGACTTTCCTGCTCAGGCTGGCTTTAATCCATGATCCTCAGATCTCAGCCTCCTGAGTAGCTAGGATGACAGGTGTGAGCCACCAGATCCTTGCTCCTCCCTCCTCCCCCCCCCCTCAATTCTGAGTTGAGATGTTTGAGTGCCTGAGGCTGGGAGCTGAGGAAAACAGGTGAATTTCCAGACTTACCAGCCTCAGCCTCATTCACTGCGTTCACGGCGGGGGTCAGGGGCTGGGCCAGGGGAGGAGAGAAAGGTCCCTACAGACATAAGCAAAAAGAACCAAGGTTACTCATGCATCTAGAAGATTCCTCAACAACCATTGCCCAGCTACGGGACACCAGAGTCAGCACCTCTGAGCGTCTCCTGCACCAGGTTGTACGAGGATCATTGCTTAACAGGGTTACCCCTGAACCTCACCTGTACCCCACCAGCATCAGGCTGCTGCTGGCGGCGCCTCTGTTCTTCCAGAAGCTTCTTTACTGTCTGGGTTGGGCAATGGCTGCGCTCATTCCGATTCACTGTGAGGGGGAGGAGGAAGGAAGGAAGTCATCACAGGTCCTTTAAGTCACCCAAGTACACCTCGGGGTGGGGGGGGGGGAGGAGAGGAAATGGGGGAGCAAGCGGAGGTGGGAGCCTTTCTTGCTCTCCCGCATGGAAAAAGTAGCACATCAATACTGCCTGAGAACCCCAAAACCAACAGCCAGATTTTAAGAGCAGGGCCCGCCTTTTTCCTTCCTTTGAGCGACTGAACTTTCCACCACTCTGATGGAAACTGAGGAAGAGTGTGTGTGTGGGGGGGGGTCCTGTGCCTCTCGACAGCAGCATCCCACCCACAGTCCTCTCAGTCCTGATTTCAGGGATGTTGGGGTGTATGAGAAGACGGGGTGTGGAGAGGGGGTGTCTCCTGAAGAAATCTATCCAGGGTCTCAACATCTCTGGGCTCAAGGTCTCTCTGGAGCTCCCAGCTGACCAGCCAGGTGTTCAAGTCCCAAGCCCTCCACGAGCTCATCAAAACTCCAGGGGTGCAGAACCCCTTCCCTCGCCCCCCTCTCCCACACACCCCACTCTCCAGATTTGGGAGCCCAGGACCCCCGGGGCCGGAAGGCACCTCAGCCCCCTCCTCTTTAGAACCTGCGAGTCCAAGTCTCCCCCTTTCCCACGGACCCAGCATCACCCCGACGGCTCCTCATCCTCATCCCCAAATTCTCAGTCTTGGGAGCCTGGCTTCCAGGCAAAAAGGGGTGAAGGGGAGGGGCTGCCGCAGGCGACGCGCTGACGTCACGGCGCGCGCTCGCTCACGCAAGGGAATCTTCCACCTCCGGCTTCCGCTGCCCCCCCCCCCAGCCCCGCGCTGCAGGTGTCCCGCTGCGGGGCGGGGCTCGCAGCCCCAGCGTGGAGCGCGTGGAATCCCCCGCAGGCGGGGGAATTCCCGCGCCGCCCGGGCACGTCAATCACGGCGGGAGGGAGGGGTGTGTCCCGGGAAGTCCCAGAGCTTGGGACAAGGTCACTCGTGGTCAGCGTGGGCCCTCGGGGTCCAGCCTCAGACGCTCTGCACCCTAGGAATGAAGGCACCCCGGGACCTCCAGATTCCAGATCCCCTGGGCCGGGAATCCAGGACCCCACCGCTCCTCTGTCTCGATCTGGATGGGGTGGGGGGGAGTGGGGCTCTCTGCTCCCCCCCTTCACAAATAGTGGGGTACCCTCACTTTCAGACCCCCCTTCACACTTGGTACTCCAATGCTGTTTCTCTGGGACCCAAAAGCCCAACCCTCCGCCTGTCATTAGTTTTCAAGAATTGGGCAGGAGCCGGGCGCGGGTTGCTCACGCCTGTCATCCTAGCTACCCAGGAGGCTGAGATCTGAGGATCGAGGTTCAAAGCCAGCCTGGGCAGGAGAGACCGTGAGACTCCTATCTCCAATAAACCACCAGAAAACCAGAAGTGGCGCTGTAGCTCAAGCGGTAGAGCGCTCGCCTTGAGCTGAAGAGCTGAGGGACAGCGCCCAGGCCCAGAGTTCAGGCCCCACGACCGACAGAAGAAGAAGAATGGGGCAGGAGCCCCGGCACTAGAGATCTCGTCTGTCATCCCAGCTACCGCGGGAGGCTGAGCTCTGGAGGATGACCGTTCGAAGCCAGCCTGGGCAGAAAGTCTGTGAGATACTTAATCCCCAAATTACCTCCCAAAAGGCAGAAGTGGCGCTGTGGCTCAAGTGGAAAAGCGCTCGCCTTGAACTAAAGAGAAGGGCTCTAAAAATTAAAGAGCAGACCCCCGCCTGGCCATCCCCGCTCCCCTCTTACCTCGGGGGTTCCTGGGCATGGACTGTGGGCCCCCAGGGCCACGGGCCCCCCGGCGCTGCGCCAGCCTCCTCGTGTCCTCCCCACCCTGGCCCCAGCAGAGCCGCCTCGCCGGGTCCCCGATCTAGGGGTTCGGGTTTCCCGGCCTTGAGTTTTTAAAAAATGAGGTGGTGGCCCCGCCCATCCGTGGGCCGGGTTCCGCCCACAGGCCTGGGAGTCCCCGCGCTCCGCTCCAGCGAATTCGGTGTCTGAATGAGCAGTGGGCGGGGCTCCCAGAAAGAGGAAGTTGGGGTGGGGGTAGGGGTGCGGGGAGGGGGGTCACAGTCTTTGGTTTTAGGGACCTAAGGTACCATCCTCCAGAAACCAGAGGGGGGGGGGGGAGGGGAGCCTGATGTTGCTGCTTAAGGGAGATGAGGCTAAAGGCCCTGAGTAAGGGTAGCAGCTTAACTGGGATCCTAGGAGAAAGAAGGGGACCCCAGGGGCCGAACCCCTGGCCTCTAGGGAGGAAAAAGACCCAAAAGTAAGGAAAGGTGCGGTAAGAGGTTCAGATCTCTCCTGCCATAACCCAGATCTTCTTTTCACATATTAAATTACTTTTCTTTTCGCAGGTGGGGCTTGAACTCAGGGCCTAGGCACTGTTCCTGAGCCTCTTTGTGCTCAAGACTAGTGCTCTACCACTTGAGCCACAGCACCACCTCTGGCTTTTTTCTGAGTGGTTTATTGGAGATAAGAGTCTCACAGACTTTTCTGCCCAGGCTGGCCTCAAACCCTGATCCTCAGATCTCAGCCTCCTGAGTAGCTAGGATGATAGGCATGAGCCACGGGCCCCAGGCTACCTTTCTTTCTTTTTAATTAATCCCTCTGTTCAGAGAGCCTTTTTTTTTTTTTTTTTTCATTTTTGCCAGTCCTGGAGTTTGAACTCATGGCTGAGGGCTGTTCCTGAGCTTTTGTGTTCAAGGCTAGTGCTCAACCACTTGAGTTACAGCTCCATTTCTTCTGGCTTTTTATAATTCATTGGAGATAAGAGTCTTATAGACTCTCAAACCCAGCCTGGCTTTGAACTGCAATCCTCAAATCACAGCCTCCTGAGTAGCTAGGATTACTGGTGTGAACCCCTGGTGCCTGACTGGACTTTGCTTTCCTTTTTTCTCTTTCTTTTCTTTTCTTGTTTTGTTTTTGTTTTTGATACCAGTCCTGGGATTTGAACTCAGGGCCTGCTTATTGTCTCTGAGCTTCTTTTGCTCAAGGCTAGCATTCTATCACTTGAGCCACAACTCCACTTCTAGTTTTTTGGTGGCTCATTGGAGATAAGAGTCTCATGGACTTTCCTGCTCAGGCTGGCCTTGAACCATGATCCTCAGATCTCCACCTCCTGAGTAGCTAAGATGATGCGCATGAGCCACCAGCACCTAGCATCTCTTTTTCACTCTTTTTCAGTCTTTTTCACTCGACTGGCATTCTACCACTTGTGCCACACCTCCTGGCTCTTTGCCGGTTAATTGAAGAGTTTCTTGGATCTGTTTTCCCTGACTTTGAATCTCAATCCTCAGATCTCAACTTCTTGAGTAGCTAGGGTTACAAGGAGTGAGCCACCAATGCCCAACACTGTTTATTTATCATTTAAAATAATCCGCATGCCAGGCACTGGTGGCTCATGCCTATAATCCTAGCTACTCAGGAGGCTGAGATCTGAGGATTGCCATTCAAAGCCAGCCTGGGGAAGAAAGTCTGTGAGACTCTCATCTCCAATAAACCACCAGAAAACCGGAAGTGGCGCTGTGGTTCAAGTGGTAGAGCCCTAACCTTGAACTGAAGAGCTGAGGGACAGAGTTCAAGCCCCACAGCTGACAAAAATAAAAATAAAATGAAATAATACACTGACTACTTTGCTGTGTGTTATGGGGAACGGCTGGTAGGAATTCCCAGCCCCAAAGCAGGGTGGTTCTCTGTTCCTATTTGGTGACCTTCCTCAGCACTAACTTTCCAGCCCACATTGCTCTTGGGTCAAAACTTTCCCAGGTCTCCTCCTTCACTGACTGCTTCCTCCTCTTTTCTGAGTGTGTGTGTGTGTGTGTGTACGCGCACATGCGCGTGCGTGCGTATGCACATGTGTACGCACATTGCCCATGCAAAAATGGAATGTCCTCTGTACACACTTCTTTGATGATCACACCCAGTCTTTTGGCTTTAGGTACCAGCCTTAAGCCGTCAGCCCTCGGATTTGCATCTGAGGATGGCAGTTCGAAGCCAGCCGGGGCAGGAAAGTCTACGAGACTCTTATCTCCAGTGAACCAGCAAAAAGCCAGAAGTAGATCTATGGCTTAAGTGGTCAGTAAAGCATGCCAGCCTTGAGTGACAAAGCAAAGGACCGCACCCAGGCTCTGAGTTCAAGCCCAAGAACTGGCACAAAATTAAAAAGGAAAGCAAGCAGGCAGGCAGGCAGGCAGGAAGGGAGGGAGGGAGGGAAAGGAAAAGAAGGAAGGAACTCCAGCATCTTCCTGGTGCCATACCCTGGCCCTGTCAACTTCTACCCAGATAATCACAGTGTCCCTGGGTGTCATAAGACACCACACACACACCGGAAATAGGTGGCCTTACCCCTTCTAGGGTGACATATGCTTAGTTCTGACTTCTGGACCACAGGTTCTTCAGGCCGCAGCCCACCATGGTGTATCGGGGCTACTTCTTGCTCCTGTTTTTGCTCCCAGGTAAAGCCAGTGGGATGAGGGTGTCGGGCTAGGGATGTGTGGGGGGGGAAGGGGTGTCCTCTGAAGGCTTGGGGTGCTAAGGGTTAGTCCTTCCCCGCTGGGGTCCTTCCCCTTCTTGAGGATCCATTGGGCCTGGGCTTTGAGGGGTGTGGGAGGGGAGCCGTGGAGCCCTGTCTCCCAAGCCAGTCATGACTGGGTCACAGCCCCACTTCCTGTTTTCTACTCACTCCTGTGTCCCTGGGAGCGTCCCATCTCATGTCACCTGGCCCCCTCTATGCTGCCAGCTGTGGGGACCACCTCCTCCCTCACCCCCCCTTTTCTTGTGTCTTCCCACAGTGGCTGCAGCTCAGACACCCCCAGGTAAGAGACGCTGGTGTCCTTCCTTCAGGACTTTGCCTTTCATCCAGGTACTATTCCCATCCCTAAGGCCGCCGTGAAGGGCCCAGAGCACCCCAGATGTCACGGCTCACCTCCTGTCCATCAGTCAAAGCCCCCAGAGGACCTACATCTCTTCCCACTTCCCATCTGGCCATCTGTGGGCCCATACTGCCCGTACCCCCCATTTGCTCAGTGCCTAGTGTCCCCCCTCCCCCTGGAGTTTGCTGACACCTCCAGAATCTCCCAGGATCCATCTCTCCTTTCATTCCCCAATCCTAGAAAACCTAGGTTCCATCGGTCTCCCAGGGAGATGGCCCACCCCAGCCCTCTCCCTCTCCCAGGAGACAACTCCCCCCCTCAGCGGCTCCTGGCTTGGTTCCCCCCCCTTTACCCCCCCTCCCTCAGGCTCCTGCTCCGGATGTGGTCCCCTGTCCCTGCCGCTGCTGGCCAGCCTCGTGGCTGCAGAGGCCGCCATGTCCCTGGTCATGGTGGGGGTGGTGTTTGCCTGCGCTCGCTCACCTCGCCGCGGTTCCCCCCAAGGTGAGGGGAGGGGTGGGGTGAGGCCTGAAGAACAGATGGTGTCCCTTGGGAGGAGGAGGTGGGGTCCCGATGGAGGGAGACCCTGGGGGAAGCCCTGGAGGAGGGACTGGGGAAACCCTTAAGGAGGTGCCTGGGGAACTTCCCACCTCACGCTGAGGAAGCCCCTGAAGCAGGGGGTCCCCGCAGCAAGGCGGAGAGTGGGTGGTGGTCAGGCTTTATGCTTTTGTTCCCCACACGCCAGGAGATGGCACCGTCTACATCAACATGCCTAGCCGGGGATGATCAACCTCTGACCTCTGATCTCTGACCTTCTCATCCTGGACCACAGAGCTGGCCTAAGAACATACAACACACACACACACACACACACACACACACACACACACTTCTTTTGCATTGAAATAAAGCAATGAAAATATCTCTTATTTTCTTCTTCGCCAAGATTCCCATCCACGTAGCTGTTTTAGGTTCAAGACTTCTCTCTTAAGAACTCACACATCCCCAATTCCTCATCCCAGGAGACAATACTTTTTGCGATCCATTGTTTATTTGGGCACCCAATGGAGCCATAGGTGTAGGAAGGCTTTGCTGGGTGGATGGGCGTCGGGGATGGCTGGATCCAGGCATCAGGGTGTGGATTATGCTCATTTGTAATACTGCCTCTGTGTGTTGAGATCGCTGTAGACATCTGGCCTCTGACCTTGAAGCTCCTAAAGGGGAAAAATCATCAGAGGAAGGAGCTCACCAAATGGAATGTAGTGCCTTAAGGTGACAGAGAGTTGGGTTTTCTTACCTGATAAGGTGACTCAGTCTCAGCCATGCGCTGTTTGCGGGATGCTGCAGGGGAGGATGCAAAATGGATGAAGCTAGGTGATTATGCCCCCCCCACCTCCCACCTTCTCCTCCCTCCTCCCAGCCAGCTCACTCACGGTCTGCAGCCCCTCGTCCCCGAGGGACCAGGCGACCCAGGGAATACACGGCCAGGGCGATGAGCAAGGTCAGCACTAGGTCCCCCAACACAATGCCAGCCAGCACGCCGGGGCTCACGGGAGAACAGTTGCATTCTGGGAATGGGTACAGGAGTCAGGGGAGACCAGTGGAAGCCAGAGGGGAGGATTTGGGGAAGCAAGGAGGGAGCGGAAGTTGAGGCGGGGAGAGAAAGTTGTAGGGGGTAGGAAGATCTTTGGGAGGTCTTTATAGGATCTATACCTACCACTCTGGGCTTGGACAGGAATGAGACCTAAGGAGAGAGAAAGAGGTAAACTGAGGCACAGAGCTCTGACTGGAGGTAAGTAAAGATGCAGGGGAAGGTGGAGAGACCTAGGAAGCTGGCACTGAGGCTGTGTGACTCCTATACTTGCTTGTGGGGTGAAGGACACCCCTATGTGTCCCGTTGGCCTGCTTCGTCCAGGAGCCAAGTCTTGGGGGCGCCTCAGGATTGGGGGGGAACCTGCTCTGTAGCCCAGCCCTTCCCTCTGGTTTTCTGTTCT